CTGGCAAGGTTCTCTCAAAGTTATGAACAAACATTCTTCCAGTAATGTTAATAGAACGCTCATTCAAATTATTTAAAATTCTCAGAGAGATCCTGTGCATATATATATATATATATATATATATACATTGTTCTAGACATGTGTGAATCGAGTAAACACTTCTTAGTTTATGCAAATGTAAAGAGAAACATGAAATCGAGCGCCTCTTTCATTATAGTTTCTTTTCAGATTTCAGTTTTTGATTTGATTGTACTGAGAAACTTTGTTTGACATTAAACAATTTCATCAAAAGCTGTCTTTGTGACTTTAATGGTGTCTAGACTTTTAGCGTTCTCATTAGTCAATAGTTGATATTGTTCCTAAAAGTATGTTTCTTGGTTCTGTCTTAACTTAAAATTAAGATGCATAGATGGATAATACCTGTCATTTCTTTTAAAGAATTAGTAGTGCTACAATTCAAAGAGGTGATTTCAATAGTGCTTCTATTTGAAGATGTTTATCAAAAGCTTATAAAAAATATAATGTGCTTTGATTTTTACAGTAGAGAATCTGGTATTATGACAACTTCTCTGAAGTATCTTGGCATCTCAATAATCTACTTGATCCACTTTTGAGGATGAGTTGTGCAATAATGGAAATGGGCTGCATTCATTAATGTCCTGTCCTGTGGCTCCCTCTATTGTAAGTCTAATGTATCTTGTTTTAAATGATCTCTAAATTATCAACGTACAAAAATGGGAGAAAAAACTGTTTCATACAATCATTACATGCCTTCTGTCCTTTGATTGATAGTTCATACTTTTTTAGTAGTAAAAGGTCTTTTAGTATAATTTTGAAAATGTCTTTCTGCTGTAAAATCTTTCCAGATTTTAGTAGATTCTAATATTTAAGTCGATTTTTAGTAAACTTAAGAATCATATTTCAAGATCAGAGATTTCAAGAGTAATATTTCAAGATTCAACATTTAATGAAGCAACTTAAATTTACTTGATTATCCATTTTTCTGAAAAATCATGTTAAAACGTATCAAATATGATCAGGCTTTTGAGGAACATTTACTTGTACATCTCTCAGTCATCACTGTATTTTATTGCATTATATGTTTTGCCTCCCACAATTAAATTTCATCTTATGACAGTTATTGGGAGATATAGAGTGACAAATCATATGTATATGCATTTTATGTAAGCAGTCTGTTATACTGTTATAAAATCTTACTAATTGACAGTAATACAGATTCATCAGATTAGTTTCTAATTATTATTTCAAATGTCAGGCTTTAGAAAGTTAAGGGGGTAAATTTTGGAGGGGGCAAACCTGACTTTGACCCTAAATGTAAGGCTGATCAAATGTTATATATATATATATATTCTAATTTAGATTTTATTGATATTGTATATTATTATGTTATTTATATTTATTCTAATTTGAAGGGCTTTGGTAACATATCTGTGAAAAAAAAATGTTCAGAGTTATTGAAATTGTTGACGTGAAGTTGTGTTTCGAACTGTTTACAGGTTAGAGCCAGAAAAGTCGTCAACATTTAAAAATATATATATAATCTACACCTTGACAAAAGGTAGTATTTGATCATGTCTAAATATATCCAAATGCAAAACCTAATAAAAGGATGTAATTATGCCTGACAACACTTTTCTCAGCAAAACCTGTTTGTATGTGAATATGACTAAACAGGCATCTACTGTTGAAACTGTTTGATTCGATTTCAATTGTATTTATTTTATTCACATAGCACTAATCTGCTTCTGTTCTTTCGATTTGAAATGCCTTTGCTCGTTTTCGAACTTATACACTTTTTATTTATTTATTTATTCACTTTTTAACACAATGCCAGCATGAAGGCTATTTGGATAGCTGGCCAATCAGAGCACACCTCGCTTTTTCAGACCGATGAGCTTTGTAAAAATCGACGTGTTTCAGAAAGGCGGGGCATAGAGGAGAAACAATAATGTACAGTATGTGGAAAATAATGTGTTTTTTTAACCTTAAACCGCATAAACACATTTCATTACACCAAATACACAAAATAATGTTCTTTTTAGCAACATCATATGACCCCTTTAAAAAATATATATATATAACACCCCTAATATTTTTTATTGTTATTTTATATAGAAATATTCAGGTTTATTAGTCATTTATTGTCATTTCAATGGCAAATAGTGTCCCAATTTACCTAAATCACCCTATAATTTAGAGGTGAATATTTACAAAGAGTTACGAAAATACACTGAAAATATATTGTGCACGTTTGTACCACTAGCTATTGAATTGATATCAAAACTTTCTAATTATGTATCAAGTGAAATAGAGCGTTTTAAAATTAATATGTAGATTCTTTTATGAATGCACGTTTTTAATAAAAGTATTCTACGTCCGTGTTTTCTGTATTCGCGTGGTCACGTGATGTTTGTTTTTGTTTTCTTAGGACGCTGGAGCTTGCGGTGTCATTTTTTAACATTCCACGAACATTACTGTTGAGTTACGACATACTGACAAGCGAATGGATAAACACCCCAAAATGAGAGCTAAGAAGAGGTTCCGAAACGATGAACCGGTACCAAAATGTGCCAAAACAGAAGAAAATTGTATTTGGAAGAAACCCGGTCCTCCTGTCACGATCCCCGCTGTCAAAGCTCAACGAGTCAGTGAACCAACTGAAGTTAACAGCTTGACAACTCACAGACAAGATCATCCACAGGATGAAGGTTTTAACTCGATCAACAGGTCATTAACAGAAGATGTTGGGGTTAAACAGGACAACGCCGACTGGGTTACATTTCCACTTTATTCCTCAGGTCAAACTTCAATGGTGCTAACCACTGATAACGCAATTTCTCAGGGTTTCTCAGTTAAAGACACGCCGCAGTCATTTAACTGCAATTTGTCCAGTGAGGCGCCTTTCCCAAAAATAAATTATCAGCCAATCAGCGAGACTTATATTCCGATAGCAACCCATCAGCCAATCAGCGCGGCGTCTGTAATAAACCGTGAGCCAATCAGCGAGGCTTCTGTGCAGATCAATACCCGAGGTCTGAACTTCACTCAGCCGCCTTCTGGAGCAGGTAGGTTTGAAGGCTTTATGTTCTCGAGTAGAACTGCAAAAACGCTTCTACTTTAACTTTCAAAAATATTTGAAATATTAAGTTTAAAGTATAACTATTAAGATAAATGGTATATTTGCATATTATTAAAAGGTTCATGGTTCATTAGACCAAAATAGTGAAGATAGCTTCAGAGCAAAAAGCAAAATGATTGATTCAGTGACAATTCCTTTACTTACTTTACTTTACTTTTAGTCATTTAGCAGACGCTTTTATCCAAAGCGACTTACAAATAAGAAAAAGTAATTAAAACTAAAAGCTAAAACTCTATAAATACTATATATATACACATTTAAGAAAATAAAATAAATTCAATAAAAATGACAAATGCATACAACAACATTTCAAAACTAAACATTTAAATGAAAACAAAAAAATAAAGCTAAAAACAATTCAAAATATTAAAAGAACAAAAGGTATGAGTATAATAATGATTCTAACATAACACTAAGCCAAACACCAAAAAACAACTACATATGTGTATGTACTGCCACACACATATACATATACATTAAATATATACTGTATATATTATTTCATTTCCATTTTGTATGTTGAAGTACTGAAATAACTCAAATTAAATAATAAAACTTAATAAAAAGCCTATATAGACATAATAAAAACTCATAAAATGACAACATTACTACAACTGTGACTAAAACTAAAATAGATAACTAATACAAATCAAACTACATTAGTTTATCAGTAATCCTAAAAAAATAACACTGAGCCAAACACACATGCTAAAATAACAACAACTTACTGACACATAGTAAGAAATTGTTATAAAAAACTGAAACAGAAGTGAAACAAGTAGTAGGAAAGAGGAGAAATAAAAAGCGATACTTATTACTATACTAATTCCATTCCTTCCTAAGAACTTTTTAACTATATCAATATTTATATACATGACACAAGATATTTCCTTGTTTCATTGTCTCTGTGAGCAGAAAGTGAGGTGGCAAGATCTCAGAACAAAAAAGTTTCTATCAAAAGGCCCATGAATGCCTTCATCTTATGGTCAAAGATCCACCGACCCGCCTTGTCTAAGGCCAACCCATATGCCAGCAACTGCGACATCAGTGTTCAGCTAGGGTTAGAATGGCACAAACTGTCTGAAGAGCAGAAGAAGCCATACTACGAAGAAGCTCGCAGAATCATGGCACAACACATGGAGAAGTACCCAGGTAAGCTATGGACAAAGACATTAAAGGGGTCATATGATGCTGCTAAAAAGAACATTATTTTGGTTAGAACGAGCCGTTTTAGGTAGGCGTGGTTGACTCTTAACTTTTATAAAGAATATCTCTTTGGATTTGAGACTTTAGTCTTTGCAACTTTACAGATCTTCTTTATGCACCAAGAGCTTGTAACACTCCAAAGTGAAAGGAAAAATTGAAATCGCATCATATGACCCCTTTAAAGAGTATATGCAGAATCTCAACGTTGAAAGGTAGGCACTTTTTATTAAATGTCTTATTCTCATCAACACAGATTGGGTCTATCAGCCATGCAGAGTGAAAAAGAAGCATTCCGCATCCAGAAGGCCACCGGTCGTCCCTGCGACCCAAATCTCCACACCCTTCATTCTGACATGGGCACAGAGACCTAACCCTTACCCAGAGCCCCTAACATCAGCGAGAGGGCAGAACAGTCTAAATTATCCAGGTTCTGCTACTTATTTATATAGCTTATGCCTTGAATATTTCAGGTTCATTACAAATTAATCTCAGTCGAAAACACATTTGTTGCGTAGCGTTGATTACCACAAAAAACAAAAAAAAACAATCGACTCATCCTGCATTTTCTTTTAAGAAAGCAAAGTATGAGGTTAGGCGAGACACTTAAGCCCTAAGTATGCTTTGGTTTTTATGTGTACAGTAGAGTACAGTAAATGTCATCATCAGCAGTGTATAGGCATTGTATACACAAAAAAACAGAAGTGTTATTTTTGTTGATAATCAAATGCAGTAATTTTGCAAGATTGTATTTTAGACCTTTTCCACTGCATTTTGAAATCACAAGTAATGACGTAATTCCATTCACTGTAGAGCATTTTTATTATGATAAAAAAAAGTAATTTAGCTAGCTCACAGGTATACTATTGATCTTTAAAACCCTCCAAGAGTTGAATTCACTGGTTAATGTTAGTTAATAATAATATTCTGGGCTGGGTGGTTAAACATGATATGAAGCCAAATTACTTCTCATGCTAAAAACATCACAATGCTTTTGTCAGCCAACATTAACCAGGCCATGGAGATGCAACAAGGTTTTATCAACACGGATCAATGTCCTCTCTCTGCTCCTCAATGTATCTTCTCTGCAGACCTCCACATGACTGGACAGCAGTTCTACCCAGCAGAGTAAGCTCTGAAAACCTCTTCCTAGTATTGCATTGGGTTTGCAATGTGATTACAAATACACAAATGAACATTTTATATTAGAAACGATTTGTAATGCTGCACTTTTCATAGGCTGAAAACAAAATTCTCCTTTTCTCCCACAGATCCATTCCATGTTCAAGCTCTTCTAGCCATCTCATTGACTTCATGAGCCACTATGAAGATCTGAGGCATGAGGCGCCTGTCCTAAATTGTGAATATTGCTTCCATGATGACAATTAGACGGACATTCTTTAGTTCTGGACCTCTGGGTTCCTGTTTGTTCCTTTGACAGGACTGCACTAGAGTGTGTTACCATTGTGATATATCTTACTCATTGATTTTTCGGTTCTCATAACAACCACAATAGTTTTTGAGGTTGTATTACAAAATAAAATGTTTCAAATTTCCAGCCTTAAAAGAGTGTTTGCATGTTCATAAACAATGGAAATGACTTAAACAGATTCAAGAACTGTTATGAAACAAATCAGGCTGAATTCCGATTGGAGGCATGTTGGCTGCCAGGGTTCCCATTTATTTAAATCAATGAATTTCAAAGATTTTTTTTTTTTTTTTACCGTCATGTCATTATTGAATATGATTTTTTTTTTTAAAGAGCCATTTTTTTAAATGGCCATAGCCGGTTATTTCAGAAAAAAACATAAAAATTCATATTGATTTTGGAAATGGCTGTGACTTTTTAGGATTGTATTAATCCTTCATCATATTGTGACTCTTAATCTTATAATATTAAAATGCACATTAGAAAAATATTTATTGCTACATGTGGAGAACTATTATGATAATCAAAATAAACATAAGCCATTTTTATATTTATTGTGTACAAATTATTTAAAATGTTAAAAATGCAACCAGCTGTTGCATTATTTCCCCTCAACGGCCAACGATTTTGGACCTAATGAGGTTTAATATGAAGTTAATTAATTTATTTATTTACCAAGGAGACAGTGGTGTCGGTGAATGAACTGCTTGAGATGAAATGACAGATGTGTGTGGAGAAAACTAAAAAAGCTAGTTACTACTACTTTTGAACAATATTTGTATTTGTGTGTTATTTCCAGTCAAACTGAAATATTTAATTGTAGGATAGCCTACATAAAATCCCTCAGAGGACATACAAGTTGGCCATCTTATCAAAACGTGTAAAATGTAATTTACATTACAGAATGTTATCATATTATCTGTGATCACTTTAGCAGAAAAATAAGCTAGTGACAGTGTAAAAACGTAAAAATGTCACATGATGTGCTTCTAATTGAGTGAGTGATTATTAATGATTATAATAAATAATAATTTAAATACCATGACTTTTTAATTAAAGATTTTAATGACCAGTAAATCCAGTCAATGACGTAGAAGGAAAGTGTGAGGAAGTGCTTCACCAACAGGAAGTTCAGCTGCAGTGTGTTTAGTTTCTAAAGCGATGGCGGAGAACACAGACGGAGAGAGTGCTGGACTCGGGGCGAACAGGTCAGATAACGCTAAAAGGACTCAGTATGACAACACTTTTATATTTTATCTTAGCTATATAGCGAGCCTGTGTTATGGTGGAAGTGGTGGAAAAGTCCTCTGGCGCAGTTAGCATGTTTGCTAGCCTCGTAAACGTTCACTCTATGTTTATTTATCTGCTTCAATAGTTCACGCGTGACCAGAAACGCATGGGAAGCAAAGTTATACGCGTAACAATAGCATACTAATCAATAAAATGTTAATATTTCCAGTTAGCAACTAATGGCTTGTTAGCTGTGCCTGGGTTTGCTTGATATCTTAAACCCACCGGCTTGTTTACGACATTTAATCTTTTTTATGGACAAGGGATGTTTTTACATGCCATGTTTATTGTGTATTTTTGTTTAGCTTGCGTTTAAAACCAAGGACTGAAAAGAAAAAGAAAGCAGTAAAGATTTTGCTAGTTTATTGGTCATATCGCTGCAAAACGTCATACTGGGTTGTCTAATGTAGGTTAAAAGTTAAGCAGTTATTGAATACAAGTGTGAACTAAGCATGCATTGATTTTTTTTATTATTTAAATCTACGAGAATTGTTTAGTCAAGCGCAGAAATTGAATTACTTTTATTTTTTTTCCTGCTGTCACTATATGGACTTATCCAATTATTCCGATCTCCACTCCAATGCTTAACTTACGTTCAGTTAGGACATAACAAACTAGTTTGAGAACTCTGCAAGAGCTATATTTTGACAGCTTATATAGTTTGACATAAACCGTTCAGGCGCAGTAATTACGCCGCGAAAAGGAAGTGAATTCTGTACTCGTGCAATTAAAATCCACAGCTTTAAATTAATGTGAGCTTTTGTGTGTGACATTCGTTCAAATTAAAGGGGTCATATGATGTTGCTAAAAAGAACATTATTTTGTGTATTTGGTGTAATGAAATGTGTTTATGCAGTTTAAGGTTAAAAAAACACATTATTTTCCACATACTGTACATTATTGTTTCTTCTCTATGCCCCGCCTTTCTGAAACGCGTC